ACAGAGCTATTGGCACCTGCCCATCAAATGTAGAATGCAGAGCTCCCAGCACAGGTAGACTGCAAACAGCCATACAAGCTCTACACGTTTTATTAAGTCCATTTGGAAGTGGCCATCTTCCTTCCAATTGGAAACATTTTATCATGACAAATGCAACCAAAATGTTCAAAAGCTGCCTTTCAATAATGTCTGCTGGCCTAATTGTTTCTATGCCAGAGGCTTGGGGCTCTGCTAGTATATCTGTGTGAGGTAAACACTGTAAAATGTATTTGCAAGTGATGAATGGTAACTGCAAAAGTGCACAGCTGCAGACCAGCCTTTGGCTTCCTTAGGGTTTCTCTCTTCGAAGTAAGGCTAACATTAGCCACTGAGGCTAACCTGGGTGAGACTTCAAAAGCAAAGCTCCAGTCTGTACTGATATTTGTCCTACCCAGTACTTCCCATATTTGTGGAAGAGAAATATTACTGTGTAAGTACCTTTATGTAACGTCACTCGATTTCCAATGCAGATTCACTAAAAAGTTTCACTGTCTTAAGACCAAGTAAAGAAATAATGTTCTACTCATAGTATCATTGTCTTCATTACTATTTTTTTCAAAATGGCTGGCAATTATCCCCAAGGGAGAATGAGAAAGAACACTTCCTGGTATTAACAGTATATGAAAACATGTAAACCAGTGGTTTTGAAATGCAGTAGTTACCTTGCAAAGTCACACCCTCATTATTTCACTGTAACTCATCTGTGTAGTATGCCAAAAATAAAAGTGTATGTACAGGAGATGGCATGAGACAGCTGGGATGGAATGTTATTTTAAGCTATTTCCTCACACAAATATAGTTCCTAACTGCATGTTCTTACAGAGTATCTGCAAGGTGTGAGGAAAGTTTCAATGGACAAACATTATTATCCCCCAAATCCTGTGTCTCTGGGAAGTAAACGAGGCTATGGAAAGTATTCTTTTTTTGGCAAATATGTAGAAGAGAGGTGCTAAAGAACAAGCTCTGCAGAAGGCTTTTCATCAGGCAGAATAAAGGCATAATCACTGCTGCAAAGCATTTTGGACATGATTGCACAAATGTTAGTTCTTGGGTCTACAGAAAAAAAAAATACAAAGGAAAAATAAGCAGCAAATGGGATGTTTCTATTGCTGTTGCTGTTTCTCTAGTTTATGTAAAGGACATTTCCAAGCCCCCAGTAGTAACAAAAATAGCTGAAATGAATTCTCCATTTCTCAAGTCACTTGCTGTCAGTATTTACAAAGCAGTGACTTATCATAAATGACAGACAAATCCAAAGCCTTTAAACATAATGAGTAATGTCTGAAGCCCACAGGTTAAAAGACTCGGAGATAACAATATGCACTGTACATAAATGTTACACATTTACACATTTACACAAACTGACCATGTAATCAGTTTTTTAATACTGGATGGTTAAATCTTTGTCATTGTTTTTTTGTTTCTTTTGTTCTGGTTTCTTTCTTTCTTTTTTTTTTTTTTCCCATTTTTGGTGTGTATTCTGTTTTGTTTGTTTCTTTGTTTTTTTTAGTTTCTATTTTTTGTTCCCTGGGATGTAATCCTTAGCTGCCCAGGCAAACAAGTAAGATGGGGTGCTTTACTCTCATCATTGTGTTGCAAATCTGTTATGGAACAGAATCTTCTGGAATAGAGACAGGCACAGGCAATTTCTGCCCTTAAGTCTCACAGTATCTCTGTGCACGTGGAAAAATATAGTACCTCCAGCAACAGTCACCAAGTCCTTGGTGGGAAGTTGGAGACGATTATTCTGGGCAGCTATCTCCTCTCACTAAAACATTCTTTTTCCTTCAAAAAGGCCTGTCTTGGGAAAAAAGTGAGCTGACAAATCAGGTCAGTACATGCTTAGGTCAAACAAAAAGCAAGCTCTTCCTCAAAACTCAGCAGTTTCTGGTGTTGAGTTCAGACACCCCCACACTTCTCCTGCACTGAGATCCTTTTCCACCCTGAGTGGTATTTACCAACATTACTCTGGAACCCCCTTATCTAGTACACTCTTCCATATTGCACATGGGCTTCTGTTTGCACATGTTACCAGCTTAGAAGGTGCTTTGTTGATACCATTCTGCTGCACAAACACCAAGATGTTTGTCTGTCTTCTGTTGTGAGGCAATGAGGCAGAATGGCACAACAAACAAAAGCCCTCTTCTTCATGGCGGCTTTCGTACAAGCATCTCCCAGTCCACCTGTCTCAAACTTGTTCCCCTTGGCGCACATTTCTCAGTGCCAGCCAGTTCCCCAGGCTCATTTGTGGTGCCCTGAGGCAGCAGTTTAGCTCAGCACGGCTTCCAAGCTCCCAGCTCCCGCTGCAGTGGCGCAGACTGTGCCTCTTGCTGACACCAGGGGCTGTGCAGTGAGACAGCTCAGGCTTGAACACTGGATCCATCACCTGAATGCATGGACAAGGATGGGGATGGACAGGAAACATGAACCACAGCTGCCCGAATTCAACAGCTGTCAGCTGCCATGAAGGAACACTCTGTATGAGGATACAGCTTTCACAAAGAAAACAAAAGAAAAAATATGATGTATCCAGCAGGATTTCAGATTACTTACACTGGTATTTGAAACTCTGGGCCAAACCAGCCAGTAGAAACATGGGGCTTGGAATTAAACTGGCTAAAGCTCCCTGGAAACTACACCTGCCATTTGAATATGCTTCTTTGAGGACTGCAATCCTGATAGCTTTTTCTATCTCTTAAAATAAATGTATATTAAATTGAAACTTCTTGGCGAGGAAGGGACTTTTGGTGACTTGTAGCAGCAGAAAATGTAACTTGTTCTTACTCAGTAAGGGCTAACCCTAAAATAAAATAAATACTAAATCCTAGAATAAAAGAGAAATGGTTTATAAAAGATGCAGTAGAGATTGGATATGCAGAAGAATGGTACTTTCCATAAAATTTAATGGACTTTCCACACTACAGTGAGTCACTAAACATGTGACCATTTATTATCCCAAAAAGGGAACAGTGCCGTACATCAAATGTATTTAATGCAAGCAAGAAACTCTCAGTCACCTTATCATTTAGGTCTGTGAGTTTACAAATTGTAAACATTTGTCCAAGAAGATGGTGCAAATTCCTCAGGTTTCTAATATGATGGTGGACAAGTTAATTTGCACTCAAGTCTGAACATTGAATACTCAAGCTACTAATGCATTAAAAAGATAGTGTGAAAATAAATACCCTATTAGCCTGCAAAAGATTATTATTACAAGATCTGCCATAAAATATATTTTACTTTTTGTCTTAGACTTCAATATACAGTCATTTTTCCTCTTAAATCCCTCCTTATTCAAACAAGATGTTTTGGCCAAAAAATAATGCTTCCAATTTTTAAAAATTAGTATTTAGTGTCAAAGTTTTAGTTGTTTGGACTTTAGTGAGAAAAGATGCATTGAAATACACAAATATAGCAAACTGTGGCTTTGTTTAAAAAAAAAAAAAAATTTGGTTGGGTTCATCTGGCTTTTAATCCCTTCTACTGTTGTTGGTAATCCAGAACAGCAATGTTCTGCTAACAGGAACCCTCTGTCCTCAAGCCTAGCTTTTAGCCATGGTCAGGTTATCCTAACCTGATCTCATGTTTCCATTTTCCTTCCATCCAACTGACTCACTTTGTTCTTCAGATCTGTGCATACAGACAAAAGCATCCTCTGGCTCCCGAACCTCTCGATACTCGCTGCCACGTTCACCCATTTCCTTGGCAACAAAATTGCTTCAGACCAAGTTATTGTTACATTTATTTTAGGCATCTCTATCTGCAGATCTATTTTCCTTTGTGTGGTCCGACCAGAACAGTTTACAATGGTTAATTTTCTTTTAAGGCTGATTATACTTAGCAGAGCAGATAAAAAATTCAAGTCTTTGAAGACTTGTGGGAAGCTGTGAAGGCATATCCAGGCTGCTGCTGGTAGCCCTGCATGGGGACCCTTCCCAGTAAGGTGGAACTAGGAAAGTAGTCATTAATACTCCTTGTCCTGTCCACTACAACTGTGATCCTTCTAACAACTGGCCTGAATAAGCTGTTCATAGGTTATAACAATTTACCTCGTGATAAGGCTTTCAGCTTAACAAAAAGGTTTCAGCCTTCCCCACCACCCACATTAGTCTCCCTCTCCTAAATCAGGTGGGCTATAATACTAGCAATAGATAACTTCATAATTTTGAATTTTCGTAGTGGTATTTTCCTTTTTACCTAGATTTTTTTTCTTTCTGTTTGTTTCTTTGGTGTTTTTAAATTTCTTTGGTGGTTCTTTTAAATTTTTTTTTTTAATTTACAGTGTATCAGTATTTAGCCAGCATCAGAATCAATGATCTCTGATTTTTTTCAATCTTGTGAGGAAAATTTATTTCAATGGCTACACAAGAAAATTAGTGCTACAAATTTGAGCTACAAATAAAAAAGTATAGTACAAAAATACACCACTTAAAAGCAAAACTATGTTAATGTTGTGCGTGAGTATTGCACAATATGAATGAATCTAATAGCAGGAGGCCTGAATTATGTCAAATGAGTCTGATGATTGTAAATACGTAAACACAATACAGTTTATTTTGGATACAGAACAGAAAACAGGAAATAATACAACCAGCCCACTCATCTGCAGATGCTAATTTCAGGAGAAGATCTCTTGTGTGGAAATCTACTGGCTGCTATATTTCAGTAGATTTCTAATGTAAACTGCAGCATGACCACAGTATAACTTACACTGTGTCTTGTGCCGCAGAAACTCCACTACAGTTGTGCGAGGCCGGGACAGAGGGTAAGGGATGTAGGGCACACGAAGTCCTACTCTGCAGCACTTGGAATAAAATCTCAATTTAAGTGGTCAGATAATTAGGTAATAACCAGAAGTCTGTGATTAAAAAAAAAAATACAAAACAGTATTAAAAATTCAGTCTCCCACCCGAGTGTACTAGTAGCACCAGGAGCTGCTGCCTTCGCGGAGCGGGGCGCTGTCAGCTCCGGCCCTGCTGGGCTGTTCGCCGGTCCCTCCCGGCGGTGCCGGTACCGTGCGCTGAGGGCAGGGCCGGGCCGGGGTTCCCCGTTTCCGGCGGGACGGGGCTCACCCGGTCCCGGTGCCCGTGCTGTGAGGGCAGGGCCGGGCCGGGGTTCCCCGTGTCCCGCTCTGGGTTCCCCGTTTCCGGCGGGACGGGGCTCACCCGGTCCCGGTGCCCGTGCTGTGAGGGCAGGGCCGGGCCGGGGTTCCCCGTGTCCCGCTCTGGGTTCCCCGTTTCCGGCGGGACGGGGCTCACCCGGTCCCGGTGCCCGTGCTGTGAGGGCAGGGCCGGGCCGGGGTTCCCCGTGTCCCGCTCTGGGTTCCCCGTTTCCGGCGGGACGGGGCTCACCAGGTCCCGGTGCCCGTGCTGTGAGGGCAGGGCCGGGCCGGGGTTCCCCGTGTCCCGCTCTGGGTTCCCCGTTTCCGGCGGGACGGGGCTCACCCGGTCCCGGTGCCCGTGCTGTGAGGGCAGGGCCGGGCCGGGGTTCCCCGTGTCCCGCTCTGGGTTCCCCGTTTCCGGCGGGACGGGGCTCACCCGGTCCCGGTGCCCGTGCTGTGAGGGCAGGGCCGGGCCGGGGTTCCCCGTGTCCCGCTCTGGGTTCCCCGTTTCCGGCGGGACGGGGCTCACCCGGTCCCGGTGCCCGTGCTGTGAGGGCAGGGCCGGGCCGGGGTTCCCCGTGTCCCGCTCTGGGTTCCCCGTTCCCGCCGGGACGGGGCTCGCGCGCTCCCGGCAGCGCACGGGAAGGCCACGCGGCTCCCCGCGACCGCCGCGCGCAGACAGCGCCCCCTGCCGGCCGTGCCCTGCTGCGGAGCGCGAGCCCCTCGCATTGGCACCGCCCCGGTGGGCGGGGCTCCGCCGGCGCTTCGCGCGCTCCTATTTGGCGTGGCCCGGGGAAGGGGCGGTGCCGCCTCCTCACGTGAGCGGGGGCCGCGCGCTCTCCTGCCGGATGGCGCCCCCTGGCGGTCGGCGGTCTCCCGGTCTCGCCGCGCCGGCATGGAGGGGAGCGGCGGCGGCGGCGGCGGGACGGATCCGGGCCCGGCCGCGGCCCCGGGCGGGGAGGGCGAGGGCTGCGAGGGGCTGTGGGAGCTGCCGGTGGAGTGCTGCGAGAGGCGGCCCGTGTGCGGGCGCTGCAGGTGACGCGGGCGTGGGGCCGCGGAGGTGCCGCGGGGCCGGTGGGTCCCGCCCCGCTGGCCGTGAGGCGGCGCTGAGGCCCCGGGCGGGCGCGGGTCGGTGGCTCGGCAGGGACTGAGTCGCCCTCAGGGACACCCGCACCGAGCGGGTCGGTGTGAGCAGGGTCTCTCTCGCTCGCCCTGTGCGCCCTCCAGCGCCTGTGGCGTCGCACAGTCGCGGACGGGTCAGGCTGGGAGGGACCGCGCGGGGTCCTCTGGTGCAGACCCCCTGCTCAAGCAGGGCCATCCCAAAGCACACGGCAGAGGATTGCATCCACATGGTTCTTGGGTATCCCCATGACGGAGACTCCACAACCTCTCTGGACAGTCTGTTCCAGATACGGTAGAGATGTTCTTCCTCATGTTCAGGTGGAACTTCGTGTGCGTCAGTTTCCGCTTGTTGCCTCTTGTCCTGAGGCCGTCATGTCCTAAAGGCATGTACTCACCTCTTGTGAAGCAGTAACATGACATGAATTAACTCTGTTGTCCAAGGAGTCGGTAAATGTGGTGGAGAATACCTAGAGGCTCAACACAGAGATGGTGCTACACCTTTTCTCTGTATGCTCGCCTTGGAAAAGCAAAGGGGAAGCAATGTGTCCCCTCAATACCATGCAGCGAGGCACATGAGGCTTAGTACATCTGCGCAGTCTTTGGTGCTTTGTCAAAAGAAAATGAAAAACTAGCCTTACCTTACAGCTTTATGGCTAATTTTGAAATCCATTCAAGCATTGGTTAATACAAATTGTGAATTCAGGTGTCTTTTTGAAGCAGACAGTGACTAACGGTCTTCCAGAAATATCTCACATTCTGATTGTATGCTTATGTATGTATGTATGTCTGTACTTTTAGTAAAGCAAGAACAAGTTCCTGAACTGAAATGCTTGTGAGTAACTGCCAGGGAAAAAAGGCTTCTCAGCACCTATACTGATTGATCTGTTCCTAGTCATTGGTGAAATGAGTGGAAAGGCATGTAATTTTGCTGACAGTGTAGTTGCAGTCTCTTTTCAAGTGTCAGAGTTCAGAAGCTTGCTGCTGGAGAGTTTCCTGTATGTAAGTTGTAATAAAAAATATGTATCATGCAAGTCATAGTATTTGTAAGTGTTCACTGCTGGAAAAAGTAGTCATAAGCAATAGTTGATGCTCAGAGATGAAAACCAAGCAGGTGAGTAACACTTGCCTTTTGCTGCCCTCTTTTTCTGTTTAGCTCAGAGAACTTCTTGAGCTGGATGTAATATCTAATATCCCCCAGTAAATACAGGGGGTTTGTTGATGTGAATTTCTCCAGTCCCCCTTGAACTCATGTCAATTCCATGTATCAGCAACCTCTGGTTAGCAAGGACACACCACAGGCCTACAAACCACAGTGGGGAGGAATCATCTTTTAATTTATTTTGGCTGTGGCTTCCACCTTCCTCCCTTGCACATATTATTCCAGGTATGATCAAGCCAGCTGGAGATTTAGACCTTGGGTGATGCATTTCTGTTTATATTTGTAAGGATTCTTCCTCATCCTATAGCTGCTTAGTTACCTAGTAACCTTTTGGGAACTCTTTGAGAAAGCCAGAGTTGATTTTGTTAGCTACAGCACTCTGTATTTATTGACTCTTTCAGAGATCTTAAATGGGTCTGAAAAATAGGGTTCCCTTTTCCTAAATCTATGCCAATTATTTTCATATAAACCATGTGTTTTTGTAAGGTTCTAGTAACCATATTTTTATTTGAAGTTTCTGTTCACATTAGCAGTCTTCTTTGTTGAAGTAGTTTGGTTTTTTTGGGCTTTTTTGGGGTTTGTTTTTTTTTTTGGTGGTAGTTGCTTACTGCTCAGCATTTCTAGTCCTTACATGCCAAGGAATTGGCTGAGTGAGAGTTAACCCACTGTCATCCCTTACTGAGCTTTTTAATGTTGAGTTCTTTTAAAATGCCTGAACAGTACTTCTGTTATTGTTGTTTATTTTATTAGTGTGTTTCACAATATCTACTTCAGGTCCTTAAATTTTGAACAGATTCTCTGATGAGTTACATACAAAGATGATTTCTAGAATAGGTGTCTCTCTGTTTTTTTCATAGTAAATGTGATGCAAAATATTTGTCCAGCTCCTCATTACCATGCAGAATATTGAAACATCATCTTCCTAAAGAGCTGTGGATGAATTACATCTCCTTGTGAGGAGCACGGGAACAATGAGCACAGACACTGACAGAAATGTAGGGGCAGAGAAACCAAGGAGGATGAAAAGACCACAGAGCTACTTTTTAAGAGAAAAGGAATTTTTTTTTTTTTTTTTTTTTTTTGTGGTGGTAACAATGCAAGACTAATTTGTACATCCAGTGTATTTTTGCAGTGTATCCCCTCCATGCTATTCTTCAGGATTGTAGCTAAATTTTGCTTTCATTGGTCATGACTTTCTGTGGCATGACTTGGAGTTGAAGTGGGTAATGCTGAAACTTAGGGTGCCTCACAGGAAGCAATATTACCTTTAACAGTATCGTGTTGGGCTGGGGCCAGGTATATTTAATTGACTTCCTTAATTTTCTGAACTCTGGATTTTTGTTACAACCTTCCTTAATGAATGTGATTTAGGTCTGAATTCTGTACAAAAGCATGGAAGTGTGGGCTCTCTTTAGCATCATCTGGTGATTTCTCAAGGGAACTGACTTCAGTTCTTTTCAGGTTCTGATTTTTTTTAGAAATGGCAAGACAGCTGATTGACAACTTGCTAACAAGTGCTCAGTCAGTCAAGATGTGAAATAGAAATGTGGGAGTAAGGTAGATAAGTTTTCATTTTGGATAATGTGAATGTCACTTGAGTGTCCTGAAGGGACAGGATGTTTCTAAGTGTTATATGTTGGAGACTTTCTATTGCCTGTGGTGGTGGTGGGGAAAATATTAGCATTTGCAATAGCTTATGGGGGAAAATTTGAATGGAATAATGTGATACAATTTTACATTTTGAAGGTGTTGTGTGTGTAAGTGCCAGTTAAAAAAAAAAGTTAAAAAAGACCCTGATTATGATTGGTGTTTCAGACGGCAAGCAGCTGATGCAAATGAGGTATGTACATCATACTGTTTTATTCTTGAGGAGAGAATTTAATACGTAGTCTGTCTGCCAAAACCAAAAGGTTAGTGGTGATGAACTTTGAATGAATAATTTCTTAAGGCTTTCACAGCTAACTTAAGTATTCAACTTGCTTTCAAGTTAAAGCCCCACACCCAAACATTTTAATAGGAGAATAGGTTTCAAATAATTTTCAAGTTGCTATTAGCTTGAAAAATAAAATGAGCAGGCCCCACAACTGAAGTAATGTAGGACAACAATTTGACTTTGTGTGTGATGCTGATAGTAATTTAACATTTTGAAATTGTGGACTTCTGTGGGTCAGATTTCATTGTTTTCTAGATATATGGTGTTCTGTTGGGGAAAAAGCCTTTTATTAGTACAAGAGCCATGAATTGACTTCTTGCCAAAAATCTTGACTGTACATAGGAAAATTCCATTGTTATAGGAGAACTTCTGGGTAATATTTTTAGGAGAAATGATGACTTTAAACTGTATTATTTATAATCTGGACGTTGTTAGGTGTCATGTAGGCCATCACAAATGCCCCCTGGTAACAGTCCTCTATATTTGCAGGATGGGTTTATGTTGTAGAGTTGGGTTAACAACAACTGGTATTTTCTCGGTTCTGCTATTGTATGTGCTGTGCTGCTGTATATGTATTTCAAGGGTGAGGCGCAAGAAAAGGAGTAACATTAATCCTTTAATATAAATACTCCCTTTGCCTATATCTAAAATAATTTCGGTGAATTTGAGTGCTATGAGAGCTGTTGATAGCATTGATAATTCAATGATGACTTCTGCTGACATGGTGCTGCTTCTTATTTTGAGGAAAAATGTAATGTTCTTTTATAAGTCTCACATATTTGTTAATAATTCTGTTACATCATATAAAGGCTGAGTCTGAAGAAGCAATTTGGGCTTTCTTCAACACTATAAATATATGCATTTGCTTTATAACACGCTGTTATGGTATTTAGGTGCAAACATGAATTTTTAAAGTTTGAGTAGCAGTTGCAGAAAGTGAAATAAGCTTGCATTAAGTATTTTAACAAGGGCTGTTGAAAGAAAATAGCTTCATAGCCTTTTATTGCTTCTACTTCGGGATGATTTTTTCCGTTTGGCATGTTTTTGTTATTGCTGTGTGCAGATGAATACCCATTTCCTATGAGGACATAATTGTCAATTACCATGCTCACTGTCTGACATACCCAGCTGGGGCTGTAGCCTGGTCACTCTGTCATGTCATCATTGCTTACATCACAGAATCTTACATACAGAATGGGTGAGGTTGGCAGGGATCTCTTGAGATCACCTTGGGTTCAGACCCCTGCTGAAGCAGGATCAGCTAAACCAGGTTGCCCAGGATTGTGTCCAGCTGGGTTTTGAATATCTCCAAGGACGGAGACTGCACAACTGCTCTGGGAATTTCTCCCAGTGTTTTATTCCATCTGTGTTCAGATGGAGTTTCTTAGTTTACTTGTGTGCTTTGCCTCTTGCTCTGATAGTGGGTGCTGTTGAGAAGGGCTTCATCTTCATTCCCTCCCATCAGTCATTTATACACAGTGATAACGTGTTCCTTAGTCTTCTCTTTTCCAGGACAAAGAGTCCAATTTCTCAGCCTCTTCTTGTTCAAAAACTTCCAGTCCCATAGTCATCTTTAGCTGCGTGCTGGACCTACTCCAATAAGCTTGTTATGTTCTGGGAGGCCCAAATCTGGACCCAACACTCCAGACATGTCCTTAGTAGTGCTGAGTAGAGAGGAAGGATCACATCTCTTGACCTCCAGGCAGCAGTGTTAAATGCTGCCCAGTTTGCTATTGATGGCCTTTGTGTCAAGGGCAAGGACAGTTAGTTTGCTGGCTCATTATTAGCCTCTCTTCTCTAGCCAGTTTCTTCTCTATAGAG